CTGCCTCCCCCCGCCCTGGGATCCCTGCTGCCCCTGCCCCCTTGCTAACCTTGCCCCGGACCCCCACTGCTGCCTCCCCCCGCCCTGGGATCCCTGCTGCCCCTGCCCCCTTGCTAACCTTGCCCCGGACCCCCACTGCTGCCTGTCCCTGCCCTGGGATCCCTGCTGACCCCACCCCCTTGCTAACCCTGCCCTGGACCCTCCACTGCTGCCTGCCCCCGCCCCTATATTCCCCTACTCACCCTGCCCCAGAACTCCTGCTAAGGCCTGCCACCGCCCCCCTGTATTCTCCTGCTGACCCTGCCTCAAACCCCCACTTGCCCCCCAGTCCCACCAAACCCCATAGCCCTCCACTGACACCCCCCCGGTCCCCCTCTCTCCCCCGCAGGCGATGAAGCTGCAGCTGCTGACGGCGCTGGGCGCCCTGGCGGGCACGGCCTGCTCACTGCTGGCCGAGGGCATCGGGGAGGCGGCCACGGCCTGGATCCTGCCCTTCACGGCGGGCGGGTTCATCTACGTGGGCACCGTGTCGGTGATCCCAGAGCTGCTGCGGGACGCGGCGCCCCTGCAGTCCCTGCTGGAGGTGCTGGGGCTGGTCTGCGGCGTCGCCATGATGGTGCTCATCGCGCACTACGAGTAGCAGGCCCCAGCGGGGGGCGCCTGGGGGGCAGTGGCGCGTGGACCCAGGCGTCCGGGATGGGACTCCGTGTGGACTCCAGGGGTGGGGGGTGTGGTGGACCCTGGCATCCAGGACACGGGGGGGAGGGGAGCGGGGGCCAACTCTGCATGGACCCAGGTGTCCAGGATGGGGGGTGCTATGTGGGCTGTGGGGGCGGAAGCCACATGAATCCTGGTGACCAGGGTGGAGGACGTGCCCGGCCCCCCCATCCCAGATGCTGGGTCCATCCAGAGCTTCCCCCCGGGGCGGGGGTGCTGCATGAGCCCTGGGGGGCAGGGAGGATGCAGTGTGTGCCGTGGGGAGGGGGTGGGACGGACACTAGTGTCCAGGTGCTGACACTCACTCTGGGATTGGGTGGTGGCGTGGACCCCGGTAGTGGGGCTGGCGCAGTGCAGGCTCTGGGGCTGGGTGAGACCTCGGGGCAGGCACCATACAGACTGCAGGGGTGTGAGGTGCCCTGTAGAC